TGAAACAACCTGATGACAAAGGCAAAGAACATCCTGTTGCTTACTATTCCCGCAAACTACTTAAGCACGAGGTGAACTACGCTATTACAGAAAGAGAATGTCTTGCCATTGTAGATGCCATAGATAAATGGCATTGCTACCTTCATGGAAAGTCATTCACTGTTGTAACAGATCACTCTGCACTCCAGTGGCTGAAGAATGTTAAAAATCCTCAAGGTCGTCTCTTCCGGTGGTCTTTGAAACTGTCAATGTATGATGTGAACATCACACATCAAAAGGGTGCAAGTAATGTCGAAGCAGATGCGCTCTCCAGAGCCCCAATAGTTAATCTTCTATCACACGACGACCTATCAGCGATGCAACAATGAGTGTCCAAAAGGAACGCACTCATTGGAAAATAACATCATCATCGTTAAAAGAAAAGGACTACGGAAAATATACGTGCCCCATGAACTACGCCCAACCATTCTGAAGAATGCACATCAACATTTTGGGCATGTCGGAGTGAAGAAGACGCTATCACTCCTGTCTCCGCAATATTATTGGCCGCATATGGTAGCCGATGTTTCCACTTACATTCGGCATTGTGATGCATGCCAGAGATGCAAGAAGACGAAAACAATTAAGGTTGGGACGCTTGAATCACTGCCTCCAGCTGAAGAGCCCTTCGACCTCTTTGCAATAGACACCATTGGAGGATTTTCTGGATATGGCTCGTCAAAAAGGTTTATACACTTGGTTATTGATCATGCGACTCGCTACGTATGGGTGTTTGCTCATAAAAGTGAGAACAACGACGCCTACATTTCATGCTTAAAAACAATTTTTTCTTCTGGAAAACCACGAAAGCTCCTTTCAGATCGTGGAACAGGATTTACCGCAGGAAAATTCAAGCAGCTTTTAAAACATAATCGTATACACCAACTATTTACCTCATCTCATCATCCACAATGCAACGGCATGAACGAGCGGACAAACCAGACTATCGTAACGAGACTTAAATGTAAGATCAATGACGAACCACAGAAGTCTTGGACTAAGTTGCTTCCGGAGGTAACTGACGAATACAACAGAACACCCCACGAAGTGACCGGCTACGCACCTTCCTTCCTGATGTATGGAATTCCATCTTATCCTACTGTACTGGAACAACGAGAAGAAACTGTCGAAGAAGTGCGAAAAACTGCAGTTACCAATTCTATCGCCTACCACAATAAGAACAAAGTCATTTATGATAGAAAATTTCTTCCGATTGAGTTCCAAGTCGGTGACCTTGTCCTTTACAAGACACCATGGCATCCCAACAACGGCAAACTGAGTTCCGTCATGGAAGGACCCTACAAGATTCTACGCAAGGTCTCAACAGTGAACTATGAGATCAACTGCTCTGTGCTACCCTTACGTAGAAACTCTGACATTGTTCATGTTAGCAAACTGCGGCGTTATTTTGAACCTTCTGAACTGAGACTTTCTCGAGGGGAGGGGGACGTGTGACGCATCAACAAGGCGATTCTAGGAGAAGCCGACGAAGAGGAAGTGCGCGTGCATTAGAATAAACGCATGGCACCTGGACCACGACGTGTCTCCATTTTGTAGCGTCACACACACACACACACACACATATATATATATATATATATAGGTCTGGATTATATGGCACAACGGGAGCGTTGTCGACAAGGATAAATATATTAAATATATTTATTTCCCAACAGCTTCGGGAGGGGTCCTCCTTTCATCAGGATTGAGTCATACTATCATAGACGTTCAAACTTCGTTGCTGCTACGTCCCTCTCGCCTTGAAAGATGTTTGCAAGAGTGAGAGAGAACTAAACAAACAAACAAAAAAGAAACAAAACACTGTGAACGCTGAGCACAAAACCAGACTGTGCACATCCAAATGTCGGTGTAAGTCCACATCTGGTTCTCATCCTGTGCTGGCCAGTTCTTGACGCGTGTCGGGCCACCCCAAGATTGTCACCGTGGTGGCGGAAGGGGCCCACGACAGCGCGCATAAGGAAAGAGTTCCCCTTAATGGGTCGGTCGGCTCTTTACCTTTCATCTTCGTCGGTTTCCCCTCAATGGCAGTCAAGTGGTAGGCGAGTGTAAACACTTTGTATGTACACCTGAGGAAAAAAATATGACCAAAAAAAAATAAAGGGAAAGAAAATAAAAACAAAGAAGGACAGTGTACACGTACGAGTCAGTCAGAAAAAACAAGCGTGGTCTCCAGCTATGAATCTTTGTCACCAATTTCCTCCTGGCTTACTTTTCGGAGGCAGGAGAGTCTTCCGGGGTCCTCGTTGATGCCGGCCACTATGTTCTAAATTTGAAAATAAAATATGCCTCACACTGTTCGCGCTCGCACCTGTTTGAGAAACCGGACTGTAAAAGAGTTACGCTGATATTTTCAAAACTGTGGTTTGGCAGGCGCAGATATTTATATAAAGGTAGCTTCGGCAGTGAAGTGGCGTGGTACCGGTGATTATTGAACTGTAGCCGAAATGGCGTGTCTGTTTGGCCGATATATTCTTGTTGGCAGATGTTGCAATGTAGCATGTATATTACGTTACTGGAGTCGCAATTAAGGCTTTCAGTTATGCAGAATTTGAAATCCGAGAAGTTTGCTTTGGATTCACGTGTTGTGACCATCTGTGGGCATACCATGCATCGAGCTTTTCCGCAGGGATGGCACCCTGATTGAATTTTGGGGGCGTTCGTTTTTGCTCTGACGAGAATGTTCTTCAGGTTTTTATCCCTGCGGTACACCATGTGAGGTGGCTCCGCGAAAATTGAAGTTAGTCGTTTGCTTTGCCTGATTATGTTGAAATGACGGGAAAGTATGTTGTTGATTCGTGGCAATGGTGAGGAATAAGTTAGTACAAGGTTCGTATGGGAAGTCGTTTAGATACTCTGTTTGGCCCCTTAATTATATCATTCCGGTTCACGTTGCGAGCTCGTAGTATGGCATCATCAATAATGTCTTCGGGGTAATTTCGTGTCAAAAAGGAATGCTTTCGGTGTTCTGCGTGTCTGTCGAATTCCTTCATATCAGTGCATATTCTTTGGTACCGGTAGGTCTGAGAATATGGAATACCCGTTTCGCAATGATTTGAATGGCTTCTGTTCAAATGTAGGTACATTTGACGGTCTGTAGGCTTTTTGTAAAGGTTTGTTGACTACTGGTCATTTTTTACTGTGACAGTGACGTCCGAGAGGATAATGCTAGTTTTGGAAATTTTGTGCGTGAATTTAATTGACGGGTAAAACTTGTTAAAGTCCTCTATGAAGCGGAAAAGACTTCTCTCATTGTGGTTCCTTATCATAAAAATATCGTCTTAGTATCTTCTGTAGTAGAAAGGTTTCAAAGTGCGTCCCTTAATGAATGGGATTTCACGTGAAGCCATGAAGGTGCTCGCAAAGTTTGGGGCCATTTTTGTGCCCATTGCAGTGCCACTAACCTGAAGGAAGTGCTTGCCATTGAACTCGGAATGGTTATAATTAAGTACAAGTTCAAGAAGTGTAAACAGTACCTGCCACTTACACCAGTTGATGAGTCAGATTTTACATATTCAGAAAACATAGCCGTTATTCCGTCATGGTCATCAGAAAGCTACCGCCTGGGATGTTGAGACTTGAAGTTTCGCAGATGAAGTGGTTTGTGTCCTTTACATAGTGGGGAAAATTCGGGGAGATGTCTTTTATTAAGGAATTGATGAATTGTGATATATTTTCTGTTGATGTGCTGTTACTGGATACTATCGGACGTCCCGGATTGCCTGCCTTGTGTATTTTGGGGAGCAAATACACAAGGCAGGCAATCCTTCGACTGGGAACAGAATGGGCCGGTAACATTGCTTTTAACATTTTGCCGGTAATTTTCTTGTCCCGGCAGAGATTATTTAAGGGTCCTTTTATCTCACTTTCGAATTCGGGAGTCGGGTCCGTTGAAAGTTCTTTGTAGAATTTTGTGTCTGATAGCTGCAGTTCCCCTTCCTTTAAGTAGTCCGACGTGTTTAGAATTACCATGCATCTCCTTATATATATAAATAAGGGAAAGAAGTGTATACCTAAGGGCTCGTTTTTCCGTGTTTTGACACAATATCAATGAGATCTAACAGACAATCATGCCAAGGAATGTATAGGGGAAGTTTTTAGACCCAATTGTGATGTAAATGTGAAGAAAGAAAAGTGGGTGAAAAAATAACTTGCTGTGAGCAGGAACCGAGTTTGATGAATAGGCCTCTGCAGATGCCACTTATTTGTTCAAAGGAAACGACTTTAAATATAGTAGCAGGATTTGACTTTTGGTAGAATGCAAATGATAACCTGTAAGATATGTTATGTTTAATATTTACTGTATTTAGAGCATATCAAACAGTGGAACAAGCTTTTAAACATAAAAAATGATGAATTGATGCGAGGGTGATGTGTTTCTTATAGCCTTGAAGTGGGGCATCGCGGTAGAGTGGGTTTCCAATAAATAAATGTTCTCACGGCTTACCAACCCTTTACTGCAGTGAAACCACCTTTTGAAAATGTCACATGCGGTCTAATATACATTTGAATAGATGCTTTAATGGCTTAGCATGCCTCCACTCCAGTGAGCTTTTACGGAGTTACACGTGGACTAATATATACACTTATTCGTTCATTTCGAATATTTCGAAATTTTTAATAATTTAAAGTCCAATCGAAATGAGTTCGAATACGAACATGGTTAAAAATGAGGCAGAAGTAAAAAAAAAAAAGTTGTATCGTGTTGAAACAATTTCGTTCTCAGGTCAGGGCCTTTCCTACCTTTCACTTGTATTTGTCTAAAACCTTCGAGCCATCTCAAGTAGTGCTAGAGGCGTAGCCTTACTGTACAGTCTGCGCATCGCATTTCCATCACAACAAATTGTTGTTGTGGACTTGCCATTTACTGATGTGCATTTGTTGTCTCAAATAACCATCGAACTGCACTGTTGTCATTTTGTACACTTCCATTTACTTTGCAGCATCAAGATAGGAATTGCAGCCAAAGGCAAGCAGTTGTCGGGACGACGCATTCTCTCAGCGACACGAGGAGCCTGTAAATACGTCGCGCCTTCCTCGTCGATCACCGCCTTTTGATAATGGCGCCTGCGCCCCTCCCTGTCCCGCTTTTTTAATATAATGTTTCAATTGTTTTTAAAAGCTCTCTCTGTACATCCCCTTAAACGCCTCGTGCGAAGCGAGAAGTTTGCAATCGTGAGACGAAAGAGAAATGAAAGCCATGCTCAGACTAGTTATGTCCGAAGCTTCGTTCTTATTACTTCGCTGAATGTGAGCGTGTGTGTATGGCCCACATGCAAGTTCCGTGAGGTTGCATGCAACGTGGTGCTCGTTGGTTTACGCCTGATTGTTTACTGGGAATGCAAAAGCAAAAGTATCAGTGAGGAATTTCGGAGGCCGTGCTCGGAGCCGGTTTCTTTTGACGATGCTTGACACGGCGCTCGCTGGTCATTTCAATGCCTTCGGCCTCAAACTACGCTCTCTCGTTTGCTGGCTTTGTGATGATGTCAATGAATTCAACTACGCCTCTGTAACGCCTCCAGGCATCATTTTACAATGCCCGAGGGCACCGTTGCGCTTTCGAGGTTGCATGCAATTCGTGAGGCAGTTCGTGAAGCTAATCAGCTCAAGGTGCAGAGTTTGCCTTCTGTTCCGGTGATAGTTCTTTCGCGTGGTCGCCTCGCACGAGTGATTCGGTCACTACGATGGCTTTAGTGATACAGAAATGTGCTTCAATGAACACCGGTACTCTTGCAAAGGAAAGTGCTGCCAGTGCGAAAGGCAAGAGATCGCTAGCAACACTGCACAGAAGGAGGTTAGCTCATTGCACGGTAACTCCCGGTGTTGTTTTGTTTGAAGAGCAGCAAACGCCTCTATTTGAGTCCTGCAGTTGAGGCTGGTCTTGGAATTAATCACTAGCGAGCTTACATTTACAGCAAAGTTTTGTTAATTTGACGCCAATTAGACCTATGTAATCAGTCTAATTAAGCAGTGCATGTCTTAATCTACTAACTCTGCCGAACTTACTGTGAAGTTTTAAAAATTAGAAGCATGACTGGAGTCGGATCGATGGAAGTCCGCCGTATTTTGATCTCTGTGTGTGGCCACAGTTTAGGGGGCTTGATTGGTGGACGGTATGCCGTTCTTTAACTAGCTTTTACTATATTTTTTACTTGAAAGGGACCTTGTATTGGCTCTTGAAAGTGTAAGGGATGGCTAGAGCTGTTCGAACGATACGTCGCTGCAGGCATCATTTGATACTGAACTAGTAATCTGAAACCATTTTTTAACTCTTAGTCTCAGTAGAGCTACAACTTACTTAGAATAAGTGTTCAGTCGTTGATCGGCATGACAAAAAATGAAAAACGAATGAATTTTTCTAGGTGAATTGAGATTTCACGTTGCTATGCAATTTCATCAGACAATATTACTCTAACATTTATTGAGTCTGTTATTCTAACATTACTTGCGAGAACCACTTCAAGTTTCTTTTGAAGAACTTACTGCCCTTAATTATTGAACACACAAGCGTGAGAAGCCTAATACATGGACTGTTTTTTTTTCTCTTCCCCCTCTTGTAGTCTGAGCATGACTTAGGTTGGATTGTAAATAAAAGCTATGAAATTGTGAACCTAAAATGCTGGCCTCTTTCCTTACCATCGAGCTGCACTTACTATATTATGGGTTTTATTTAGGCTTTTGCATATAGTGGATTTTTGGTACGAAGTGAATAGCCATTTTGGTCGAATAATTCGGATAACATATATATCGCATATTATAAAGAAAAATGGGCATATTTTGGAAACCTACCTTACCTGCAAAATATTTTCTAAAAATCGCAACAAGATCTGTGCAAGTTCCTTTTTTTTTTCATCAAAGAAAGCGGAACTACTTTCGGTAGAATACAAGCGATAGCTTGTAAAATATGTCATTTTTTAATATTTCTTATACTTGTAGCATTTAAGTTGGTATAACAAGCTTTTAAACGTAAAAAAAAGGATCGATGTGAGGGTAATATCCTCATTTAACCTTGAAGTGAGGCTCTGCGGCGGTGCGGATTTTCGAATAGGTGCTTTCATGGCTTAGCACCGCTTCACTGCAGTAAAATCGTCTTTACAGGGTGTCACACGCGAACTAATATGTACCTACGGGTTCATTTACAACAATTTGAAATTTTCAATAATTTAAATTTGATTCAAAACAAATTGAAATACTGCATTATTCGTTCGAATATTCTAATGTTTGCACAAGCTTATTTTTATAAGCCACTGGTGTGCCTAGATAGACACCAAAGTATGAAAAATCTTAGCGAAGCGTACCTCTTGTATACATTGATATAGCGCAAGATGTTCTGAAGCTGAACTTGAAGCGACTGGCAAAATGATCCTCTTGAAAGTTTTCTTTAGTGACAAAAATTCAGTGCATAGTAATGCAGCACAATGCATCGTACAACTCCTAAAGTAACGGGACAAGGAAACTATTCTTTCTATCAGTGAACAAACCTTTCGCAATTCCAAGAGGAGCATTGCTCTGGCTACAAGAAGATGCAAGAAAGCTCTAAAAAAGAATGCACATGGCGATGCTACTTTTATGTTGTCTCAACTACTTCGCATGGTGTTGCAGGTTCTGGCAGTCTCTTAGGGCCTGTGCAGTTATTGCTACAAACCTTTTCTGCAAGGCAGCTGGAAACTCGTCATGGCTGATTTGAGGAAAATTTTTCAGAGCAAATGCACGAACCCCCCCCCCCCTAAAACTTGCAACGTCGCACAGACATCTGGATGTGGATTTACTACACGAATTTATAAGCACACAGGAGTGCACTTGCAAATGCCTCGGTGCTCTTTTACTACCTTACAGGCAATTAGCCCTTTCACAGCCGACGTTGGCCTGCAGTCGGTTTTCGGAAGAGCCGGCATTGTACACAGCCGTGTTTCGTTTCACGATTTTGCAGCACACACAATGGCGGCCGTAAAGTGCTGATTCGGTGCACAAAGCAGCAGCACTTGAGAAACTTGTGCGCCACTTGAAAGCGCTTCTGCGCATTTTTGTCTGTGCGACATGGGGCGTTTTTATGCCTAAGAAGCAAACCTTTGCATGAATTGAGACTTCTCGAAGTTACCTAAACGAAGCACATCAAGCGGACGAGACCTACAGCTACTCCACTGATCTTGAGTTGCACAATTTCCGAACACCTGATGTGCCACTGTGAACTAGTTCGTGGCGGTGTAGGCTAATTAAATGGATCTTGCCTATTGTGCCTTTGGTAGAGAGCAAAGCAACATATATGGGATCCTGTATTCTTGTTTCACTTACTGCTCATTGAAACAAACAAAATATTCAGGATGTTATCATGCACCAAACATTACAAGCACTTGAAGAGGCCCTGCAACACTTTTAAGTATGTGATCGTATAATGTCCTTGCTATTTGATAGTACTGTCTCACGAATTGACAGCCACAAAAACTATATAAGGATCTGCAAAGACTTGGTGAAGCTATACGTATTAGTGATATGCTCCAAGTGCTTTCGCTGTCCTTTCACTCGAGCAGGCACTGAAAGGTACACTGGAGGGCTGACAAGTAACGTCTGAATGTCTGTGCAAGTCACAGCCTAGAGCACTTTCTTTTCTTGTTTTCTTTCAATGCTTTCTTTACTTCCAGTGTGCTCACTTGCTTAGATTGGAGCGGGCACGTCGCAACACTCGATAATTAGGCCGCACACGATGCCCGGATCAGCCAATGGCAGTCTATGTGTTTTTGGGTGTAGCGCATTTTTCGGGATAATATCGAGCAATTGCTGGCCGACCTTGACGGCAAATTGTAAATTCCAAGCAGCACGCTATGTTACATTTGCCTCGCGTGTTTGTAGGAGCCTCGAATACTAATTAACAGCATTGTCTTGCCATGTTTCACACAATACACTGAGAACACCCGCCCGTGCAAGATTTCACAAAATTATTCGCAGCTGTCATGTACTGAAGCTAGACTTGGTGGAGTGTACGGAAGGAGAGTCTTTTTACGTCACAAATTCTCACACGAACTTGCGTAAAAATGTCTGTGGTGCTATTTGGCCAGTGACTGAAAGCTGTCAAGTAGCCATCAAAAAAGCAGAAGCAAAACTGAGACAACACCCTGTAGTGCAAGAATGTACACCATTTTATTCGTTGAAGAGTTTAATGTCAGTGAGACGAAACATGCAACCAATTTGGGCAGCAGGTATTTGTGCAATAAATGAAAATACAGCTGGGCAGAGTATAAGTAAACAATTTTTTAGAAGGCTTTTTTGATCCTTGGAAATGTGGAATAAACACTGGAGTTTCTTTTAAAACAAGCAGCCAAGTTTGACTTATGCAAATGCATGTCTAGTATTCTGGCCAGTGAAAACTTTCACTCTACTGACACAGCAGCCTGTGTAATCTTGTCACCTTGAACCGAGCAGCTAAGGCCTTTCTAGACCCTCTACCTTAAATTCTTGTAAGCAAGCTATTCGTATAGGGCACTGCATCTGACTTGGCTGCCACACCATGTACGCACAATTCTGTTTAGAACTATTCCAGAACTATTCTCAATGTCCTTTACTTAGGCACAATGTGTTTTAGGCCAATATCTCCACAAAACATACTTGCGGCACACAATCTAGTGCACGCAATGTCATGTATGCCTTGCTGGCACCTAATTCATTTTCTAACTGTTGCTGTATGTCTCTCTGGCCACTTGGTTCCATTACCTCTGCCCAAACACGTCGACGACCTTTCACGCAAACCCAAAATTGCTCGATTCGAGCAAAGGCGTACAGCCCGCGAGGGACCTTCACCGGAATGCGGCTACGCATCGCTGTACTCGCGGAACAGTTCTTTTGAGAGACGGCGCGGCCGGGCAGCGCTTTTTTAAAGCTGTTTCGCACATCACTCACTCGCCCAAGACTCCAAGCGAGCACGACGAACCACTCGCGCTGCAACCGGGCGCGGCATTCATTGCACAGTCGAGCGAAGAACTGCCATCACCCTGTAAAAGAAGTGTACGGCCACCTCGGCAAAGACGTTAACAAGAGTCTCCCCGAAACAACAGTCCGTAGGCATGGAGCAATGTACAGAGCACAGAAAAGGCACAAAGGAAGGCTGCGCAGTCATCGCTCCTTCGACGCCATGTGCCTCATCAGCAGGTTGGTTAACTTCTCTATCCTCTTGACGTCTTGCGAGTGTTCCGTCAGATATTGAAGGCACTGTTGGAAACAAAAAGGGACACGCTGTTAAGTTGCCTGGTCAATGTCTTTGAATGCTGACAAATTGTACCTACAATCGCAGCCAACAGTTGCCAAACTCCCTGCAGCACTCAACATCACTGTATGAGGTCTAAGTGACACTAACTTGCCCCCCAAAAAAGTTTTTTATGTTATATAATGAAATCTTGCAAATGACCATAGATGTATACATGCTCTAGGCAGATGATGCGCTAATTGTCAGCTACATGCCCCACCATGTTGGTATCAAAATGTTACAGTTGAGAGTGATCGGAGCATGACAAATGTACTAACCTTTGCCACAACTGTAGAAGGTGGTTGGCAACCTCAATAAGGTTGAGGCTATGCTTTCAGTATGCTCAATGAATTTTGTTGCGTTTACCACATTGGAGCTCGCACAGATTTTTATATTCCTCCGATTTCTAGGCTTTCGAATGTGCGACAACAAATTACATGTTTCACGAAAATAACTATAGTTTGAGTAGCATAATATGTGTTGTGAAAGCTTCAATATCAATTTGGCAAGTTGATCATATATGTGGGGCTGTTTCCAAAGCTGCTCTTCTTTAGCTTAGAAAAAAGTTCAATATCCTGTGCAAGGTATGCTGATAAAACTGGCATTACCGTACTTCATGATGCAAGTGCAACTTCATGAACTTGTGCACAACCAAAGATGTAAACTGTCTCTTATAAAGCACTTGTTTGAAGTGAGAGCTAGCAGGTATTTGCTTTAATAGTTGCAAACAACACGCATAGTAGTAAAACATTGGGTAGTGTCTATATTGCCGGCTTCCGGCAGAGTATATCGACCTACCGGGTGCCGGCAGTTCTTTCCTATATAGGAGGGTTTCACGTGACGTTCTCTGGGGAGTGTGCCAAGGCTGGTCAGGTGCTGCCGAACAGCGAGGAGCTGCCCAGGCTAGAGGAATACCGCTACCTAGGCGTGATATTGTCCACCTCAGAGAAGCTCGTCTCGCGAGATGAAGCACACTTGAAACAAGAGGCACTGCGAGCTAGCCGCATACTGCCTGGACAATGCCTGTGGGGCGCGTTATGTTAGGTTACGTTGCGTGAGGTTCGATTAAGTTAGGGAAGCTCAGGTGTTTTTACTGTCCTTGACAATGGTTATCACTGTTTCGAAATGTCGGAGAGCAAAAATAGCTAAATGACGGCTTAAAGCTGAAAATACAGCAAGCTGGCATAACAGGCTCCCCAAAAATATGCCAGCAGATAAGTCACATGGTAATGGGCAGCCAATAAGGAAAAACTGCAGGCAACTTCATTTCCGGGATAATATGCCTGTAGTAAACTTCATTTCCGGGATAATATGCCTGTTACCGGCACTATAGACGCGGCCAAAACACTAACATCTCAGATTAAGACGTCTCGACGCAGACTTATGCGCAGTAAGCAATCTCGAGTTGCACTTCAGCAAGTTCGTTGAACACATTAATAACGCATCACCACATCCATTAGCTCACTGAGGTGTTTTAGACCTGTTTTAGATGACAATAGTGACTTACGAGGTATGCATACGTCTATTATTAACGCAACTAAACGCAACTTTCAGGGTTAAGTACGACTGTGTAAACATTCGGCACCATCATCAAAATGCATGAGCGTTTCACGCAGCCGCCTTTACCTCCAAAACACGTTCCCCGGCAAACGCCACTTCGAGACACATTTAATGCCGGCGGCTCACGGCTTGGGCGAGCGCTGGCAACGATTCAAAAACGCTTTCACGTACCACTTGATTGTCTGTCACTTTGACTTGGAGCTTGCCGTCACAGTGCCTGTACTTCAGAATGAACCTAACCTGCAGTGGTAGAAGAAAAAGAGATTGCAATAGTTGTAACACGTGTACAAAAAAGTTGTCCCTCGTTTCGTAATGCCGAATTGGGACGCACACCATCTGGATGGAGCGTACACGGGCGTAGTTCTCGCTCATTGAATCACTCGAAACGTGCGAAATGCAATCGCTGGAGCTCTTTAGAGAGTGCTTAGCGGCCAAAACGTCCGCAATCTGGTCGCTCGCAGGACACGCCGGCTTTGATGGCATTTTGCACTTGTTTCCTTCTCACCTTCATGGGATCGGCGAGGTAAAGCCTCTCGGCGGCCTTCGAGAATTCCTCCCACGACGTGATGAAAGTCATGATCGCGACGTTGGCAGTGCCTTGAACTTAAGCGGGCATGCGAGCTTCTTCGACAACTTATTTGTCACACCACTTTTCGCACACGACGCACGCACACACATCAACCGTAGGCCGCGTGACGTTGCGAAGACATCATGGACGACGGCGGAGAAAGTGGCTCCTCCTGGTATCTGCGGTGTGAAGATTAATGTAGTTTGCTGACGTCTTTAACATGGCGGTTGTGAGGTAAAATTTGTCTTTAAAAAAAAAATAAATGGTCTTTGAGATTAGTAAATGTTACTCAGAAGAGCTGCTTTGCCAATTACCAAGCAACTTAGTTGACATTTTTCTACATAGTCTAATAAAAATAATTTATTACTTTGATAAAAATGGTAGGTACACGTGCGTGTTTTATTTTTTTTTTTGTCACTAACCTACAGCATTACAAAACTTTAATCAAAAGACTAAACAGAAAAACAAAACATTACTTGTTTCACTTTTGTTTTCTACACTAAAATGTTTGCCTCACCTAAAGCAAACAAATTAAATCATTTTTTCATTTTATCTAACCAACTTTGAATGTTTATGCTTGTGTTGCGTTTCCTAGATGGCGCTACAAATTGTAACATTACAAAATAAATTGTGTTTTGGCTCAAGTTGTAAATGCGCGTAGGTGCAGTTGTGTGACTATAAGTTGATAGGGTTTTGTTGTAATAAAAGTAAACAAAAGAAAGTAGTGCAGAAAGCAAAATTACCCGGCGTGCCTCGGTTGTTGTTATCAACATGGCGGCGGGCGACTCTTGAAGTTTTGTGCGAGCGGTGAGCGGCGATCCGCCGTAGGCATTCGGGAAGCAAAAATAAAGTTGTGCGCGTTGTGACCCCTCGAGGAGTGGTGACCGTTTGGATTTAACCCCTCGGCCGTAACCCTGGACGCTTAAATGACCCATCGGCGAGGCCAGCGCGGACGCACAGATCGGAGAAAACGGAAACATGAGGTAAAACATTTCTGTGTTGCGAGTTAACGGATGGGACGCTGTTCTTTCGGTCGTCCAGGCGGTTTCCACCGCGCCGTCGACAAAGCCGTCAACCCTCGGCTTTCGAACAGTAGTGTCTTTGCTTTCGTACACGACATAATCCGTGCGGCTTTTTCTCGCGTGGAGTCGCCGGTTTTTCACGGTCACGGAAACACCGTCTCTCTGCCAACCACGGAGTGTTCGTTTAATACAGGGTGAGCGCTATGCGCGTGTGTAAAACTCGCCGTCAACTCGAAACTGTCTCTCTAAAACGCAGCTGTCGCACGCGCTTCGTTTGTGCTACACTAACAAAGCGCCTCGCAACATCCTCCCAAGTATACGCCCGATCAGAAAACATCGTACTTTGTCCGGTCGGCAACATCTTATTGACCTGCCCTTTACCTTTTAAATTCTGATTGATCTCCAGAACTCGAATTTCGAGCGATTATTTGTGTCGGACGAACGCGTTGAGGGACGCCGGTCTCTCTTCGCTTTTATCTGTGTCTACTTTATTGTCCCGTCGAGGTGTCGCAGGTTATTGAACTGCTACTGGCCACGGCTTGCAAAGCCGCAGTTGCTTAGTAGCCTTTCGCGTTGACAGCGCATAGGTGACGGCTCGGAACTACATCCCCGCATCAGCGGCGGCTCGGCTGGCTGTAGTTTCCAACGGGCCCGCGTTTGACCTGACTGACAGGCGAGCCATCCTCTGCTTGCTCTTCGTGCTCCGGCTCTATTGTTTTTCGCGGCGCAGCGTACGTTGGCGTGGCTCTCTCGGGCGTGTTTTGACTGCTGGCCGACCGGCTGTTTTAACCCAAACCGCCGCGTCGTTCGTTCGAAGCGATCCGCAACTTGGAAGAAAAGGTTCATTTTGGGTGACCGCTTCGTTGCGGTGTGATACGGTGGAATCTCGTTATTACGTGTTTCCCCGGAAGCGGAGAACAAAACGTCTTATGCGGAGTCCGTATTAAACAAGCGTGTTTTGAAAATGGGGAAAATGTGCATAGCATGTCAACAAACCGCCTTTATTGAACAGTATTGTAGTATAGCCTGTCGAATTTGCGCTGCGCTTTCTTCATTTTGCGGCGAAGACATCGCCTGGAAGCGAGCTTTTCGCCTCAAAACTTTAGCGAAAACTGACGCTGTTGCGGCCTCTGCAAGTGCGAATGGTAGCTTGTTGAACCGTGGTTATACTGATAAATAAATGTAGAATTTCTAGATCTATCTGTCGAGATGCATCTTCGCGGTCGTATTATCCGATTTCGGGCCAAATTGGGAATGGTATTTAATGCGTGAAAACGCGTTATTTCCAGGGGACTTTGTCAGGGATTAAAATCAAAACACTGTATTAGGCCGAAAAACTTATGCATAATCGTATCTTCGAAATTACGCATTATCCATATAAGGTCATAGTGTTGTAGTCCCGCGTAGGTTGATATAAAGTTTTGCTTAGGGTGACGCTGAACAATAAATTTAGAATATGCATGGCGCAAATAGGATTTATGAAGAAGTGGATACACGAAACGACTAATACTTCGTTCCCATCGAAGTGTTTGTCGTTCTGTGTATCCACTTGGTTCCCATCTTTTTAGAGTGATACCTATATTCCTCAAGTCATCTGCGCCAATTAGCTCAGCAACGTGTCAACCAATAATATTTACGGCATCAAATGACGTCACGTAGACAGGCCCGACCGACTGTTATGAATTTATAGACCGACTGCACTTACACGTCTTGCTAGGGTTGTAGCTGTCGTGCGCATGCTAATTCGGCTTTAGTGGTAAGTGATAACACTTATAGTAGCATTCGAGGTACATTTGAGTCGAATTGGGTCGCGTTTGTCATGTGCAAGCTGCTGCGAACGCATTTTCTACGGACAGATAGAGGCTAAACAAAATGTTTCGTCTTTAAACTGATACCTTGTAATGAAGACGCTTGGCTGATATAGACAGCCGAACTTTTCAAAAGTTCAAAAAATATGCTAGACTTTCTAGGGAAACATTTCTTACTGACGGTTCGAACAGTTTCTCTTTACTGGCTGCTTTAACCTGTAAGAAAAGGTATTCGTTTAAACCTCTGTTTACGCGTCGTGTTGCCTTGAAGCACTGTTATTTCTCGAAAAAGTGAACAAGTGAATGAAAAGACGTACGTTTCAACTTGAAACCATTATTGGTTGCGCACACTTGCGCAGCCTCTCAAAAATGTCACGCTGTCCGGCAATCCCCTGTGACGTCCGGTCCAGACGTGACGTCATCCGTGTCCCCCACACACGCCAACGTCGAGGCCGGCGCTCCCGTATTGACTAATCCAGGATGCGATCGGGGGCGATTCATCGGGCACGTCCCAGAAACGAGTCGAAGGGCGCTCTGGCGAGCTGATCTCTCGGTGACTGTATTAGCCGCAATCATCCGTCGCTTCGAGAGCAGCTACCCCGCCCACTTATCGACCTTATCTAAGTGTTAATCGGTTTCTCGCAATTCGCTCACTTATTCATCGATTGGTTTATGTTAATCCCCCTTTTTTTTCACCCTGACTCTCGGCATCGATTTCTTAAATTCCAACCGTTGGTGTAGACCAGTGCCGTTTGTAAGCGGCGGTTCATTTTTAAAATCGAGGAGTGAAATTTGACGGCATTGAGCGAAACTGTCTAGCCGCTTGCGACATTGTGCTCTCCTGGTCGTTTCGATAATGTACTGTGTACCGAAATCGGCATGGCATTACGTGACTGTATGACGAACATAAATGACAGGTCATAACATGTAAATCGTGACACGTGTGTCATTTTACCTGTGTTCGAAAACAACATTTATTCTACATTGCCGCAGCCCGCCTCCCCCTTCCGCCTGTATAACTATAGACTACGTTACAGATGCATCTTAGTGCCGCCGTGTTGCGCTGTTAGCATTCGTGCTTTACATCTTTAACAACTAAACGAACAGTGTTGTTGCGGTCGTCGACGCATGCGCATGGGGCGTCTCTCCTAATCATAAAATGGAGTATATATATATATATATATATATATATATATATATATATATATATATATATATATATATATATATATATATATATATATATATATATATATATATATATATGGGAAACAAGTGTATACTTAAGGGCTCGTTTTTCGTGTTTTACACAATAATAATGAGATCTAACAGACAATATAGCCAAGGAAGGTATAGGGGAAGTTATTAGGCCAATTGTAATGTAAATGAGAAGAAAGAAAAGTGGGTGAGAAGATGACTTGCCGTGGGCAGGATCCGAACCTGCGACCTTCGAATAACGCGTTCGATGCTCTACCACTGAGCTACCACGACATCGATCCCCCCAGCCACCTTACTGGGTATCTATGTCAATTTAAACGTGGGAGTGTCAGTCAGCGCCACTAGTAGCCATGGCGGCGAGTGTGGTACACTCTTTATGAGCCTGTTTGGCGTCACGTAGCACGTGAACTTATTACTAACTGGCAGCTGACCAATAGATTGAGAGAGAGAACACAACTTTATTGTCGTCAGACTTAAGGAGGTAGGTGACCCGCCAGGCTGAACCTGATGGCCACCTCCTCTGCCCTTTGTACGGCCTGGAGCTGAACGGCCAGGCTGGTGGAGGTCAGAACTGCCTCCCACCCCTCTGGCGAGGGAGCGGCTAGGAGATCGAGAGAGGGGGGATCTTCCCTGCAGGCCCAGAGAATGTGATTAAGTGTGGCTATTGAGCCACAATGCGAGCAATGCGGATCAATCGAGTCGGGGTATATACGTGCATAAATGTATGGGCACGGAAATGAATGTGTTTGCAAGCGGCGCCAGATAACCTCCTGGCGCTTAGTTAGCTTATGGTGCGGGGGTGGTTTTGTCTGCCTCGAAAGACGGTAATATTGTGTGATGTCATGGTAGGATGTCAAGGCTTCACCAGGGTTTTCCAAATCAGAGGCGGGTACCACCGCTCGGCTGACGAATCCTCGAGCATATAGGTGGGCCGCCTCGTTCCCTGGGTTCCCCGCGTGAGCCGGCACCCATACCAGCGCAATGGAGGATAGTGCGTCTTCCTCAGCATCTGTAAGGAGACTGGGCAATAGTAAACGCAGAGTTGTGGGGGCCACAATGCCACGTGCGAAGTTGGATATAGCAGCCTTTGAGTCACTGAGTATAGTGGTGAATCCGG